CAAAAAAGTACTCCAGAGTGTTGTTCAGCATGGGGGTGAGTAGAAAATGAAGGCTAATCATGTTTTGGGTGTACTATTCCTTTAAGGACCCATGGGAACCTTGTCAACTGTTTCCTAATACATATGTTTTCCTCTGTTAGTCTGCAGTTTTGCTCCAACTGCAGGATTTGTGATTATGCAACTGGCTTGTTGCAACCTTAGACGCATTTTCTTCATTTGCTTTGGGACACTATAAGCTCTAGGTTTAAGATTCCCTGTTGCTAGCGTAAAAGAAATATGAACGGTATACATAAAGAAAAAAAACAAAAACAAAGGGAATTTAGGGAAACTATTATTTCCTTTTAGATGCTCTTTTCACTGAAATATTTTTATTTTATATGATTAACTGTGTATACAGATGTTTTGCAAAATGCTCTTATTTATCTGCATAATTGCATAATTCAATTAACTTTTATTACTGGAATCAGCCGAGCTGCATCTTCAGTTGGTTTAATATTTTTCTTCACTATTGATAATGATTTTTTTTCCTTTATTCCTAACAGAAAACAACAACTATGAGTATTTTAAAGCCAAACTATAAATAAAAATACCCCAATACCAACCTGCTATCAGAGAGGATTTCCACGGTGACTTTCTTTCCAACAAACTTGTGTCTGTTGCCCATTTTGAAGCCAAGAGTCTTTCGAAGCCGCCGCAGCCTTCGAGAGCAGTAGCCCCTGAAAGGAACAGCAGCATTATTTTATATGGAATATTATTATATGCATTCACTCTTTTAAACCAAAGAATACTGTAAAGGTAATTTGTCTGCTTGCCTTATTTCCCAGACTACCAAAAGCAACAAGGAGAAACTGAGTTATGTAAAATAGGAGCTTCTTTCCTAAAGATAACCGTAGTAACTTATGACATTTAATCATATCTAGACTTTTAAGGTCACATCGGTTGCATACGACTTTTTAATCAATGATCAAATGTTTTCCCCCCATGTAGCACTGCGTGCATATAGAGAGGCTCTGACTGCAGGGTGAGCAGATCCCGATATGCACATTTTTTTCCACTTCTGTTTCCTACGGATTGAAACACTATACATTATAAAAAAAACAAAAAAAAAAACAGCACGGCTACAAGGTAAACCTCACTTTATGACCCGACTGCTGCGCAGCATCTCACCAGAACAGATTTTGGATTTTATTAGGCTTATATTAGAAACATAATGGGAGCTACATTTGAAAGTAAAGAAAAAGCAGCAATAAAGTCGCTGGGACGGTTTATATGGGTACTGGGTGAGACTGAGGTGATTATCAGAGATCTGTGAAGCTTTGTTAAGTTTTTCCACTTTTTTTTTTTCATAAAGAGGAAAGAGTGATGGCTGGAATTTCTACAGTCCCTCTTTGTTACTACTTATTCTCTTTTCTGTCCTTCTGAACGTCTATCATGGGTAATGTGTTGTTTTATTTTGTAAGAACAAGTCTTACTTGCTTGTTATACATGCGCGGTGTGACTCCAAAACCTGATTTGTTCTTGCGGATTAACAGATTTTATTTAGTATTTTCCCCTCAAAGTGGAAGCGTTTCACTTTATAAACGCATCTCATTTCCTGTCAGACCCCCAATATCTGCAGTACTGCTGCGTAATCTGACCAAAACAGCCCTGGGGTCTATCTCAGTCGGAGCTACAGAAGCCCCCTTCAGAAGTCCATGCCTGGTGTGTTCATCCCCATCCACTTTCAATGAGCGCTAAACGCCATGACCTCATCTGACCCGACTTTCTGCCGGATCAGACGCAAAATTTGATTTGTGTGTTAAGGGATTAAAGGCTGATGTTTGCTGGGAGACCAACCCACTAAAGAGTCAAATAGAACAAAAGCGTACAAGTTAAATATGCAGATTTTGATTTTAATTCGAGACGCTGTTTTGGTCTGTTAATATTCTCCATCTAAGGCTCTTAAAGTGGCACAGTGTTAGCTAAAAATCAGGTAAAAAAAACCTCATATGAAACACCCGGTGTTACCCGATTATTAGTTATTTTACGAGAAATAAACGGTCAACAGATATAGAGCTTAGAGCCCCTTTCACACCTTGACGATTAAGCTAGCGTATGCTAGCGTTTTAGGAGATTCTGGGACAGCAGGCAAACGCTGGATAAATAATCAAGGGGTGACAGGACCCAAAGCAGCTTCTGTTTACCATTTATTTCTCATTAAATAACTAATAATTAACTTTCTATGTATTTTTTCCAATTTCGGGTGTATACATACATATTCATAATGAGTCCAGAACTTATGTCCAACAACATCCTAACTTCTGCACAACGCACTGCAGCATAATGCCCATGAAATGATGCACAAGCCAGTGTCCTGAGGGGGCAGCAATGATCCGGCCTACATAAAAAAGATTTGATCACGGTATTAACTTAGCTGTGGTTTACGGCCCCCCAAAAAAGGAAAAAGGAAGAAAGAAGGTTTTTGGTGGCAGCAGGTTGAGCATCATGTCTGCTAGGAAGGTTGTTGGTGGTGGGCGTGAACGCAGGGAGGATCCATCAACTACACCTTCTGGCTCACCCTATGATGGGGATGAAGTCTGGAGGAGAACTGACGGTTTCCTCCTGTGAACCCCCTTTATACCAAAACGCTGCCAATACGCCATTATACAGTAGCTGGAAGTTAGAAACACGTTCAGTGCTCGTCTGGAACACGGCAGATACGTTTGTAGAGAAGTTCTTGATAAGTTACGCACAAGTTACTCAGAGGTTTTGGATAAGCTAGACGCCACGACTGATGAGTAACTTGCACTTAACCGTACGTGAACCATCAGATAACTGACCTGTGACTTATGGTCTCGACGTACTTGCCAGTGTTATGCCTGAAGGCGTTCATTGAAAGAAAGTTCATGAACTTGTTCATATTTTGGGCGAACGTGAACTGAACGTACTGCATTACTGCCTGATGAACGTTATTGTGAACTCGTTCATTCTGGTGTCTGTGAACGGCACGCTCTCTCAGTTCAGCTCCGTTCAATAGGTTGCCAGATTTCTATAGAGCCCTCCAGGCGAAACCCCAGCTAAATCAAACCATAAACAGGCCCTAATATGTAGCGGGAAAAACACCCAATCTGGCAACACCAGCTACCAGTGTCGTA